TTCTGCTGGCTCAGAGGGTTCGAGAGAATTTGAGATTCAAAAACTCTCATGTCCATTCACTCAGGGTTGCAGGATCCCCACTCTTTTCCTGTCAGGGAATTGGCTGTGACATCTGACACTTGTCAAACTCTATTCAGACTTCTTTGCAGTGCTGATATTCTTACAGTTAGATCTAGGCCTGATTTTGAGTACTGCCTTTGTGGCTGAAGAATATGGAGGTCTCTTTAAATGCTGCCATGGAGGTCTTGAGGTTTTCATATTGTGTCTTGAATTGACAGGGTGACCTGAACTTGTCATTTTTATTTTGCCTAGGCATCTAAACTAGTTAACAAAAGCTAGCCGTCAACAAAGCTACATAATTATTATTACCCCCTCTACTGTTAAAGTGCCATGGCTATGGAACAAATACTTCCGTTTCCATCTGTACCTCATTCCTTTCCATATAGAAGAATCTTAGTAGCTGTTATGTTACCGTATGCCAGGGCTTATCACCACCCAACTCTATTGATGCCAGCATGCTGACTGGACCTGGAAAATAGGAAGTGTCAAGTATTCTAGATGTCCTAGTAAGACATCTGGGTGCTTGCGGATAGAATATGCCCCTATTAAGTTTTTAGAAGTATAGTCATCGGAGGTGTTCAAATCAGAATGACTCCATCTTGTAAAGGGGTTGGCTAAAATAAGGCCGAGACCTAGTAGGCTGCATTCCCAGGAGGTTAAGCATTCTAAGTCACAGGATGAAGTAGGAGGTTGGCACAAGATAAAGGTCATAATTCCGTAAAGCCAGCTAAAACCCACCAAAACCAAGATGGGGATGAAGGTGACCTCTGGTCCTCCTCACTGTTATATGCTAATTATAGTGCATTAGCATGCTAAAAGATACTCCCACCATGACAGTTTACAAATGAATAGTAATGTCAGGAAATTACCCTATTTGGTCTAAAAAGGGGAGGAACCCTCAGTTCCAGAATTGTCTGTCTCTTTCTTGGAAAACTCATGAATAATCCAACCCTTGTTTAGCATATAATCAAGAAATAACTCTAAGTATCCTTAGTGGAGAAGCCCAGACCACTGCTCTGCATATGGACTAGCCACTGTTTATTCCTTTACTTTTTTTTTGAGATGAGTCTCACTCTCTTGCCCTGGCTGGAGGGCAGTGACATGATCTTGGCTCATGACAACCTCTGCCTCCTGCATTCAAGCTATTCTCCTGTTTCAGCCTCCCAAGTAACTAGGATTACAGGTATGCACCAGCATGCCCTGCTAATTTTTGTATTTTTTTTTTAAAGTGGAGATTGGGTTTTACCATATTGGCCAGAGTGGTCTCGGACTCCTGACCTCAAGTGATCTGCCCACCTTGGCCTCCCAAAGTGCTGGGATTACAGGCATGAGCCACTGTACCAGGCCTATTCCCTTACTTTCTTAATAAACTTGCTTTCAATTTATGGATTTGACCAAATTCTTTCTTGTGTGAGATCCAAGAACCCTCTCTTGGGGTCTGGATCAGGACCCCTTTCTGGTAAAGTAGTCTGTAGATCTCTAAGGTATGGGCAATTTGCTGCACCTTGCAACTATCCCCATCACAGCACTTGGAGTAATACTTTTTTACATTTTGGAAGCAGCATATATCACATTTGGGAATATTTCTCCAATTCATTTCACCATTCCTGGCTATGTTGTTTTTTTAGTTTAGGTTTAGTGAAAAGATTACTCTACAGGCTTCTGATTCTGCCTATTACTAGTTGTGTAATGTTGATTAAATTATTGTAACATCTCTGAATCTCAGTTCTAAAATAATGAGGATAATAAGTATGATTATTAAATGAGAAATGTTTCATGGAAACTATTTCATGCAAGTACTTTAGGTTATCACAAATTATTTGATTATCTGGTTTTATTTCTACTGACAGAGCAAAAGATGATAGAATTAAAAACAATTTTTTTACCCTGAAACTCTTACAAACTAGGATCAGGAATGTGTGCTATAACAGGAATAAGTATTACTAATGTTTGGTTATGACTTTTTAGAAGGCTAACAGCCATAGCAGAGCTTTCTGTGCACTGCAGGCTGGTACTACCACTTTATTAAGGTTTTAATTCTCTATAGATATGGCTGTAGGTTCTAAGAGCCACCAAATAAACCATTTATGAAGCTATCTATGGTTAATTACTCAAAAGTCATCAAGCCTAAAGCTTTGACCTTCAATTGACTATAAAGGCGATACAAAAGAAACTCAGAGTGGAAAAAAGGAAAACTCTCCACTTACAGGATGAACTCGGTTATTCCAAAGAATGATTAAAACAGTGCCACTGTGGATTGAGTTTTCCCCCACAATGGGATGACACTTATTTGTTTTGTCATTAGGTCTGGATCTCCCTGTGTTTTCTGACTATTTTGAAAAACCTAAAAAACATTTCAGAAAACACTTTCATTTATTTGAAACTAAGAAGAATAAAACTAGACACACATTAAATGCAACCATGATTAACAGAGAACCATAAAAGTTTTAGTGGTTTATCTAGAATTCAGGCAAATTTATTAAACAAAGTTTTCATTGCTACCTTGTTTTAAAAATAGAGCTTAACTCACTTCTTTTCTTTTCAATTACAGATTTCAAGTACAGTTTGCTCTGGGAGTTGATTTCTGTAAGCTGAACCTGATACTTCACTTGTCTTGGCAGGTTTTATAAGGAAACAAAAACCCACTCAAAAAACATAAAGCTATCTAGGTTTGGAGTAAGACAGTTCAGCTGTATCTGCCAGGAACGCTCCTTTTTTCCAGATCGCAACCCAGTTTTTAACATTATTAGACCCAAGTTTGTTTTCTATGAATTTCTGTGTTTTATTACATGAATAATAACATAGATAGATTCCTATTTGGTAGATAAATCAACCCTGAAGGACTGCTTAGAGTGGAACCATCATATTATCTGACTATCTTTCAGCCTTTGTTAAAGTCCAGAATGAAATTTTATTTGATAAAATCATTTCTGAAACCCAGTGTGCTATTTAAAAAATCTTCATGGTTTACCCTTTTCTTTCCAAAATACCAAAGTGGCTTAGACCACATTATATCTATATATTGTAAAAATATTTATGCTATGTACATAAAAGACACATAGAATTACGGAATTACAGTATTTCAATATTTTGTTTGACCATTGAGTATAACTCCTAAATTTTATAAATGGGGAAACTTAGGTCCCCAGAGGCTCAGAGATTCGCTCAAAGTCAGAAAGATAGTTAATGGCATCGCCAAACCCTAGGAACCCAGGTCTGCTGATCTAGTTTTGTCTCAATAACTTCATTCATGTGAGCCCAGGAAAGATTAAATAAATTGTGATGACCTGCTTCTTATTTAAATGAAAAGAGAGATAGTTAAAGGATATATTTAGAAGACAGTAAAATTCTTTTATGGTATCTCTTTAGAAGTAACTGCTACATACGAAGGTATAGTTTTTTTTTTTTTTTAAATATAACAAAAGAAATTAACCAATTTGTGTTACTAGTACCTATAGCATTTGTTAATAATGTTTGGGCATATCCTCTGTCTGCTATATTGGAAAGAGTTATAATATCCACAATGGATTTAAGCCAGCTTGCCAAAGCAGAAGTGGCATAGGGATTGGAACTCTGGTCAGTCTGGCTCCCAAGTGCATTTTGTTTATATCAGCTCCCTCTCATTGGGCATACTGTTTTCAGGCTAATTTGAATATTATTATTAGATTAATCTTGTTCATATATCATCTTTATCATTTTGTTATCGCAATCAAAATCTTTCAGTAGTTACTGTTTCCATGTCAAGTCTAAACTCATCTGCCTGGCTCTCAGGTACATTATAACTAGGCCCTACTTTTACCACTCAATCATACCTCCTGCTCTCCAGTCATTCCCATTACATATATGTATGTTCCAATTCAAATATTAAACTTATTGAGGGCTAGTTACACTACTACTTTAGGTATTCTACAAATTTCTGTTGATGATAAAAAGCTTAGTTTGAATCAGAGATCCTGCTTTAACTAAAACTTCAAAGTTACTTATAGCCATGAGAATAGTTTTAGATCACATTTTCAGCTATCATTACAAACATTAATTTAAACTTTAAGAACCTACGTGGTGGGGGAAAATGTTTGACTCTGCCTACTAATATTTGCTGAAGTCTCGGAAAGTATCAACATCATTATTCTCTTTCACTTTTACTTCTGACTGTCGAGCATGAAAACATCTGATCCCTAATCGTGGTACTTCTCTGAGAAATGTTTGTTGCTTCTAGTCACCTAAACTCCATATTTTGATACCCAGTCTTCTTCACATTCTGCTTCCAATCTAACTCTCAGGTTAAATATCTTACCACTCTCCACACTCTGGACCACAATGAACTTTTTACCATTATTTCTAAACTATATCAGTCCCTTTCTGAGCTCTGTGCCTTTATACAAGCAATTCTAACTTTATTGGTTTGTTTTTTTAATCTTTTTTCTTCTGCACCTGGGAAGTTCCTATTCATTCTTCAAGACCTAGTTTAAATGTCACTTCCTCTGAGAATTCTTTGAGGACCTCTTTAAGCAAATTAATTGCTATCATCTATTGCATGACTGCCTTTCCAAATAAATAGTAAGCTGCAGGGCATAAGGTATATTGTCTTACTGGTTTTTATATTCTCAGCACCTGGCACTAAGTAGAAACTCATTGACTGCTGAAGGAATGAAAGAATATCTTGATAATATATTAAAACAGACTTGTCTTTCCAATTAAATACAATCATTTATAATTTTCCTTTAGCCATAAAGTAATAAATAATAATACTGAGTGTTACCTGGAAATTTTCAAGAACTGTAAAAGTACTTTGGTTTAAATAAATAGGTGATCCATAACTGCTTAAAAATGATTTTTAAAATATCCTTCTATAATCCCATAGGCATATTAAAATTTCTACATCATATTCTTCTCTAGAAAGAAATATTTAGAAAGCAATTTATAAAACAGAAGCAACTTACTTTATTTCGATCTTGTACAACCAGTATTTTTCTAGTACTTTCATCAAATACAGCTCCTATTGGGGGAAAAAGAAAAGACAATTGAGAAATATTAATTTCATTCACCCTACTCTCCTCCTACACTCTTTATCTGTGGTGATCAAAATTTTACCCATACTTGAAGACCTGGTTCAAATACAGGTTGACTATTCCGTATCTAAAATGCCTGAGACGAGAAGTGTTAGATTTTTCTGGATTTTGGAATATTTTCATATACCTAATGAGGTATCTTGGGGATAGAACCCAAGTTTAAACACAAAATTCATTTATGTTTCATATATACCTTATACACATAGCCTGAAGGCAATTTTATGCATTTTTAAATAATGTTGTGCATGAAACAAAGTTTTGACTAAATTTTGACTGTGACTTGTCACATGCCAGGTGTAGAATTTTCCTCTAGTGCCATCATGCCAGTGCTCAAACACTTTTGGATTTTGGAGCATTTTGGATATTTGATTTGTAGCTTGGGGAAGCTCAACCTGTATGACCTTATCCATGAAGACCTATAAAATCTCTCCAGCAAGGAAGTGATTTCTCAGGCGTCCAGGTTCTTTTAACAACTTAGAGTACCAATGATGGTTCTAGCACATGGTAACTTATAAGATAATCATCTGTATCACCTTCTTCACTAGATTATTCCTGATGGTACATGTGCTAAATAAATTAACCTTTCCATCCTTTTGTAACATTTACTTTAGTGTTCAGACAATTTTGTCTTAGTCCATTTGGTCTGCTATAACAAAATAACTATAGACTGGGTAGTTTATAAACAACAAACTTATTCCTCACAGTTCAGGAAGCTAGGAAGTCCAAGATCAAGGTGTTGACAGATTCAGTGTCTGATAAGAGCTCATTCTTTACAGACGGTGCCTTCTGACTGTGTCCTCACATAGTGAAAGAGGCAAACAAGCTCCTGTGGGCTTCTTTCATAAGGACACTAATCCCATTCATGGGAGCTCTGCCTTCATGATCTAGTCACCTCGCAAAGGCCCCACCTCTTAATACCATCACACTGGGGATTAGGTTTCAACATATGAATTTTAGGGGGTACAAACATTCAGAGAATATATGTGCTTAAAATATTTATGGAATAAATGAATTGACTTCTCATTTTTATTCCTTGAATCACTACGCACAGAACACAGGCTGTGCCCCTGATGATCCAAATCTCAAACATCTCAATATTCATTTCAAGGCCTTTCTGAAGCCAATTAAATTTCTTCATTATATACATACAATTTTATAATCTACTAATATACTGCTTTGGAAGACTTCTTTGTTTTATATATGTTTTAAATTCTAGTCCATTTCTTTTGTGTATTCATCATACACATTGCACATTGTCTCTTTCTTTTTAAAAATATCTCCCTTTAGGCAATCTTGGGTCAAAAATACAAATGACACATTAGTGATTTTTATTATAATCCTTTAGATGCTATGATTTAAATGTATTTGTGTCTAAATAATGTGGTAAAAGATACTTTCTACATATTTGTTCATGCTTTCCATATTAACTGAGTTCCTACATATAATGTATACAGATCCAGGTATGTTAATTGAGTTCCTACTATGTGTCAGGCACTTTTCTAGGTACTAGATATAGTGATGAACAAAACAAATGAAACTCCCTATGCTTATGGGGTTCATATTCTGGTATGTGCATGGGAGGTGCCAAAACAAACAATATTACATAGAATATTAGAAGGTAATAAATGCTAAATAAAGATAGAATGTAGAGAAGGAACAAATATGTGTAACATGGGGAAAAGTAATTGAATTGAAAACACTACACTTGAGTATTTTAAAGCAGGAAGGAAAATCACAACCGAGGTATAATTAACATCCTTGTGGATTCTATTAGAAAACGTAAATGATAATTTAATTGGACTTTACAAGAGGTAAAATGCCAAAGAAATTCCAAGGAAACTTATTCTTAAATTTTAATAATTTCTGATTACTCAAATTGAACTTCTCCCTAATGAATTCACTGTCAACATGAGCACAGTATCACAGAGACAAAACCAGCACCACTAAAGCACAATTTGAGCGACCCCTGCTGGTCGCAATATAAAAATTATTATGATTTCAGGCACTGTGTTTCAATGTACATTAATTAGCTCAGGTATAAGTCACAATAATCCTGTGAGTGAGATGAGTGAAATGAGTGAGCAAGCACACTCTTCTCACTGTGCACCGCTGCCCCTCTACAACACTACAGCTGCTTTATCAGAAGGCTCACATTTCCATCCCATTCATTAAAAAAATATTGAGTATCTACTTTATGCCAGTCGCTGTCTTTAGCCTGAGGATACAGTGGTGACCAAGACAGATAAAATATCTGCCTTTATGGAGTTTCTATTACCGAGGGGGAGATTAAGTGACTCAATATAATTAATTATATACACATGATATAATAGAATTTTAGACTGTGATAAATGCTATGAAGAAAAACAGCTGGATAAAGGGACAAGGAATGTTTTGCTCTTGTTACCCAGGCTGGATGGCACTAGTGTGCAGGGAGAGGTCAATTCTAGACAGGAGGGTCAGGAGCTTTTCTGAGAAGGAGACACTTGAGCAGAAACTTGGGCTATAAAGAACTAGATAAAGAAAGTTCTGGAGAGGAGCCAGTAGGTGTCTAGGCTCTGAGTCAGATACAAGCTTGCTAAGTTTGAAAAGCAAAAGAAAGCCATGGCTCATGCTATTCCAGCCACATCTGCCTTGGGTAATTTATAACAAATGTCAACTATTTTTCTCTCCACCTAAAAACTCTGTACCCCAGCCTGGGCAACATGGTGAAACCCTAACTCTACAAAAATATACAAGAAGTAGCCTGGTGTGGTGCCACACGCCTATAGTCCCAGCTACTTGGGAGGTGGAGGCAGGAGGATCACTTGAGCTAGAGAGATGGAGGTTGGAATGAGCCTGCATCATGCCACTGCATTGCTGGTGACAAAGTGAGACCCTGCCTCAAAAAGAAAAAAAAAAAAAAAAAGCAAAACAAAAAACAACTCTGCCCCTTTCCAGAACAATTTCTTACATTATTACCTCATCCAGACCCCCAATACTGGCTTAAAATCCTAGTGAGTTTTCAAGACTGGTCAAGTTCTGCATCTCCTATTCCTTGAACTGCTCTGGTACTCTAAACTATAATGCACAATATAGTACTTAGTTATGAACAGGTCCTTCATAGGATATAGTTTCCGTATATATCACCAATTCTGTAGTAATAACTGGGAACTCTTTTTTTTTTTTGAGACAGAGTTTTGCTCTTGTTACCCAGGTTGGAGTGCAATGGTGCGATCTCGGCTCACTGCAACCTCACCCTCCTGGGTTCAAGCAATTCTCCTGCCTCAGCCTCCCGAGTAGCTGGGACTACAGGCATGCGCCACCATGCCCAGCTAATTTTTGTATTTTTAGTAGAGACGGGGTTTCACCATGTTGACCAGGATCATCTCGATCTCTTGACCTCATGATCCACCCACCTTGGCCTCCCAAAGTGCTGGGATTATAGGTGTGAGCCACTATGCCCGGCCATAACTGGGAACTCCTAAGAGTCTGTGCCCATAAATGATAATTATTTGTATGACTTTCCATTGAAGTGTGAGGCTGTCACTAAATTATTAAGTAGAATCTTTTGAAATAGAGCTGAATGGAAAGTTTCTGAATGTCTGCTTGCGACAGGGAAGTAAGACACAGACAGAAAAGATATCATTAGACATTCTTGAACAACTCCTTGAAAACACTGTAGGTGTGCAAACTACCTTAAAAACTTGTAAATTATATAAAGGCAAATAAAACCATTAATTAAATAACTAATATGTTTTATTGCTTTCATTTATTAAAGTAATAAAAATTCTTTACTATTTCAGTTTTTCTGAAAATCTAGGAATTTCCTTAACCCTAGTCCTTAAAGGATAGTACTGAGACCACCACCAGCAGCAGCAGAAGCAGCAGTAAAAACAGAACAACCAGGAAAATCACGCGAATTTTCAGGCCCCACCCCAGACCTACTGAATCAGAAACTCTGGAGATAGGGTCCAGCAATCTGTTTTAAGATTCCAGGTGATTTTGATGCAAGTGGCAATTTGAGAATCCCTGTTTTACTCTGAGGGAGGTCTTCTCTCAACTTTCCTATGTCTTTGAAGCTAATCAGCAACTTCAAAATTCTACTCTATACTTAAATTACACTATTTTAAACAACTGTTTGGCACAATAATGTAAATATTTTTAAGAATGTTCAAATCATTAAAAAATTGGTTTACTTTACCTGAAATTCAACCTAAAAGTTATCTTTTACTTTACAAATTTATATAATTAGTGCTAACATGTTTTATCTATAATAAATGTATTTCTTGATCCCAATTCAGTGTTACTATTTGAGTAGTGAAGTTTAATTATTTGTGTAAAATATATTCAAACATATCCTTTGTAAAACTAAATACTAAACAGGTTCTCTGTGCTGCTGTCTACTTACTGAGGCAAACTTCATCTATTTAAAAGCGCTATGTAATACATACCGTAGTCCCCCTTGTCCAGTTTTGCTTCCTGTAGTTTCAGTTATACAAGGTCAACCATGGTCCAAAAATGTTACATCACTACTCTTGTGCTTTAGGGCCATTATTAAGGAAAATAAGGGTTACTCGAATTCAAGTACTGTGATACTGGGACAGCTGATCTGATAATAGGGAAGGCTACTAAGTAACTAATCTAATGGATGGGTAGCCTATAGATCTTAGATACACTGGACATAGGGAAGATTCACAGCCTGGGTGGGGCAGAATAGGATGGTGAGAGATTTCATCACACTACTCAGAACAGTATGCAATTTAAAACTTAAAAATATTTTCTGGAATTTTCCATTTAGGTCATAATGCCTATTATTCACCTCACTTCACCTCATCATGCAGGCATTTTATTATCTCATATCATCCCAAAAAGGGTGAATACAAAACAATATTTTGAGAGAGAACACATTCATATAACTTTTATTACAGTATAGTTATAATTATTCTAATTTATTATTAGTTACTGTTAATCTCTTACTGTTCCTAACTTATCAGTTAAACTTTATCATAAATATGTGTGATAAGAAAAAACGTGGTATATATAGGGTTTGGTACTATCTGTGGTTACAGGTACCCACTGGGGTCTTGGAACACATCCTGTGCAGATAAGATGGAACAACTGTAATCATTTAATGAAATAATTCATTCCACATGAATAAACTATTTGCTTAGCTGTAACAAGCAAGGAATTGGGTGAACCTCTAAAAAGTTAATTCTGGTTATCATGAGTTTGAAACTGACCTGCAACTCCTACTTGATGTGAAGCATATCCTGGTAATCTGCTGGGCCCTTCTCCCAGCCACAGAGTCAATGTTGATGAATCCAATTCTGCATGGTGAAAACGGAAGCCGAGGGAAGCAGCAGGAGCAATAAATCGGCTTTGGAGGATGGGAATGTGCAACCATACAGCTGTTCTACCTTCTGATCGCCATTGTTGTACTGCAACTAAATGCAGAAGATAAAAGTCTAAATAATTTCCAGAGAGACTAGTGGAATAAATTAAAATTCACTTCAGGGTTTCACCTCCTCCAGGAAGCCATCTTTAAGCAAAAGAGGTCCAAATGTCCTGTTCACATTGCTGGCACTGGAATGACCATGTTTTACCATAATAACCACCTTGTTTATATGATTTTTCCATCAGACTGAATTCCTTGAGAATAAAGTCAGTACACTGCTGACCTTTATATCCCACACCACCAAAGTCAATGCTTGGAACATTTTACAGTGGACAAAACAAATGGATTTAGACCAAATCAAATACCATTTTAATGCTGTTCCTTTTAACATTCTTAGGTTTAATCTTAGTGGCAATTATGGACTTGTTTTTTCTTCCTTTAAGAGTTCTCCTATAATGTTTTTAATGTATAAATTTCAAGGTAGTTAAATTTTGTTTTTAAATAATGTATGCTGGTTCTAGAAATTTTGAAAATAAAAAAATCAAACTTCACATATTACTAGCATACAGGAATTCTAATTTTTCTTTATTATAGATAATATCATGAATTATAGGTTTTCTCTTTGCCTTCTTTAAATTTTCTTACTTTATTAAGATTGAGCCAGGGGAAAAAGATGCAAATATCTATTTGAAACTTACTAAGTTCCAAGTACTTTATATACATTATCTCATTAAGTATACGACCATGAAAGGTATAACTACCTTAGGTTTATGGGTGAAGAAATGAATACTTCAGTTTTACGGTTTTTAGAAAAACTTTTCAAATCACTTTCTTCATCCATCATCTCACCATAGCTATGTTTTCTAATCCAATTTAATATTCTATGCATTTGCAATTCTCCAGGTTAACCCTACATTATGCACTGTGGCTCCATGTGTACTAATGAAATGGTTGGCTTGCCTCAAGTCACACTGCTAGTCAGTGGCATAGCAAGAGCCAGAACCAGCGGTATTTCATTACTGACGCAGATACATTATGTGTGAACCTAACAACATATTGCCTGTTCATCCCTCTAACTTCAGTTGTTGTTAACAAAATATCAGTGTTCATGTTCTAAAAGAGTATGAATGGTTGACTTCATATTCCACTAAGAATATGGACTTTAGTCCATAAAGACTAACAACAGACTAAGAACAGTGGACTTCATGTGTAAATAGTTTCTTTATAGGCACTACGTTTCAGTTAGTTTTGTTCAACTACAACACAGAACCAACAGTTCTTCGAGGTAGCATAGTGCAGTGAGACAGGTCTAGAGCCAGAAGTAACTTTTTCTGTGCCTCTGTACTTTCTTTAAAATGGGAATAATACTATCTACCTCAAAGTCTTATTAGCAGGATGAAATGAGTTAGTATTTATAAAGATCCTGAAACATCTACCACTAAGTGCAACAAAATTTGTTTTATTGAAAAAACATAACAAGTATTTTGTACTTCAATTTACAAATTAGTTTCATCTTTGATCAACGTATCTATCCAGTAATTAGAGCTGGTGTTATTCACAAAAAGCAAGCTAAGAAGCAAATATTTTCAGTGGCAATTTGCCTAATGCCTGGCTAAGCAAGTGGCAGAATCTGGTATTAGAACGCAGGATATGCAGCTCCAAATCGAATAGCTTTCTCCTTTACCATGCTGACTAGGGGTAGTGCTTTGATCACCTGTTTGGTCATTGATAAGTATCAGTGTGTGTAACACCTGTCTACCGACACAATGGAAGATAAATTGATTGATTCTCCCATTACTGACATTGTTGCCGTCTAAGTGGGCTTGTCAATAATTAACTCCCACGTAGGAGAGAAAATAATGTGAAGCCTGTTAAGAAGTCTGGGAATGAGGATGAGTAAACATTGAAATAACTAGCTCAATTATACTGACAGATATGCTTCTTGCCATATTGCTCAATAGATAAAGATTATTTTGAGTTTCCTGTGTGAGAGATCTTTCCATAGTTGAGTTTGGATGCTATGCCTTCAGTTAGCTTATAAGACCATGAGTGGCACTAAATCAAGGACTTCTTCCAAAATGAAGGCTCCTCCATCTGAGCTTTCTTACCATTGGGCTCAAGATTCAAAGCCAGTAGTTCTTACTGAAGACTGAAACCACCCACCATCCTCCCTGGTTAATTATAAAAGAATTGTTATTCTAAAAACTCCAGTTCTTGCTGAGAGAGCTGTTGACCCAATTTGTATACCAATGTGACACTCTGAACCTCCCTGGTTTAGTATTTGATAGCACAACCCGGTGACTATATTCAATAATTTAGGCCAGGTGCATTGACTTCTGTCTGTAATCCCAGCACTTTGAGAGGCAGGAGAATGAGTTGAGCCCCGGAGACTGAGACCAGCCAGGGCAACACAGTGAGACAGTGAGACAGTGAGACACTGACTCTAGAAAAAAATAGAAAAAAGCCAGATGCACGCCTGTAGTCCCAGCTACCCAGGAGGCTGCGGTGGGAGGATTGCTTGAGCTCAGGAGTTGGAGGCTGCAGTGACCCATGATCCCACCACTGCGCTATAGCCTGAATGATACCCTGTCTCGAAAACACAAGCAAACAGAACAAAACAAAAAAAACCCTAAGAGTAATTGGACTGTGGTTGAATGCTTGTGGTGATGAATATCTCATTTACCCTGATGTAATTATTACACATTATATGCCTGTATCAAAATAGCTCATATATCCCATAAACATACACCTACTATGTACCCACAAAAATTAAAAAAAAAAAAAAAGGGCCTCTTTGGTACACTCAGTAAACCACCCGTATTAGAATGTAAAACAATTTTTTTCCTTGAGAAAAGTGTCCGACAGAACCAAGGCTCGGTAAACGATAGTAATAATGTTATAAGATTAACAAACATCTACTGAGCGTTAAATATGTGGCAGACACTGTGCTGTGCATTTTATATGCATTATCCAAAATAATTATCGGCAATCCCTGGAATTCCTATTACCGGGGTTTATGGAAGAGGAAATTGTTCACAGCAATTTCCGAATGTCCCATACTAGAGTGGACCAGCAACCAGGGTCGCAGATCCCAAACTCCGGGATCTTCACCATTTCACCTAATTGCCTTAGAGACCTCCCAGCAAAGGGTCTAAGAACGAATGTTCCAGAAAACGGGTCTGGGTCACGCGTGCCTTCTCCCCTTTCCACTGGGCTTGATACTGGTGCACAGAGCGACTCGGGAGTGGGGACTGCGGTTATTTCATTAGAAAAGCTCTGGAGCCCCGGGAACCCTTAGCCACAGGCGCACTTGCCCTGCAAGCCCTTCTTGAAAGCGGCGGCGTCCAGGCGGTCCAGCGCGTCGAGCCGCGCCAGGCGCACTGAGACGCCCCCGAATCTGTCCAGCTCGCCCTGCAGTTCGCACATTCCAACTGGGGGATTCCGCGCGTAACCCTGTGCGTCCAAGGCCCCCAGGTAATCCGCCGAAGCCCTAGGTCTCCAGGCCCGAGCAAGCACCGCGCGCCAAGTACCCCTGCATAACAGCGACCGCATCTCCACGCCGTCGCCTTCGGCCTAAGCCCTTTTGACCCCTGCGCGCTCTAGAGCGAATCTCGCGGCCGTACATTTTAGAAGAGTGCCATCATTTCGCTCTCATAGTTGAGCTGGGGTTACGGTTCTGCTGAGCTACGCCAAGGAGAACGCGAAGTCGTCCACCGGCCACTCTCGGCAATTTGCCCCGCTCCAGTTAAGCTGGGAAAACCTCCTCCCCCACCGCCACCCACTTATTTTGTTTGGTAGTTTAAGTCAACAGAGGTTGGTTTAGAGATGGGAAAGCCGGGAGGAGATGCAAAAACATCCCGTTTTTCAGGAATTTGCAATCTAAGTGGCAGTTCCGTTCCCGGAACATATCTTCTATTGCAGACCCCAGAATCCACGCAGCGGTTCCAACGACTGCTGCTGGTTTTGAAATAGCTCGGTCCCTCCCACCACGCTGACGCTGCTGCGCTCCACTCATGGAATTACGGCTCAGGGGCGGAACCTCGCTGATTTCTGACCCGGAAGTTTTTTCCTTGTTGAAGCGCGCACCTTAAGTCGGCTTTGCTACTTCTTCGCACAGGCTGTCTGCTGATCATGTCTTCCAAGAAGAACAGAAAGCGGCTGAACCAAAGCGCGGAAAATGGTTCGCCCTTGCCCTCTGCTGCTTCCTCTTATGCTGGGGCACGGACTCCTTCTGCTGGGTCAGACTTTGCGTCGGCCGCCGGGACTCTGATGGTGACCAACTTCTTGGAAAAGGGTAAAGAATTCCGGGAGGGAGGTTAGAGGCAGAGAGGGCGCAACCTGAGGGGAGGGAGACTCAGTGATGCTGACTTGGGGTGCAGAGACTTTTGAAAGTTGGGCGTGACATAGGTCTGAGAGCGACAGAGAAGCATGTAAAACTTAGTTTGTAAGAAGCATGCGACCGTAGCCACCCCTGCATTGGAGAAGTTAGGCTGAGATGGTTTATCCGTGTCTAAGGCGTCTCTTTTGTAAATTGTGTTGAATTTTCAAGTTGCTCTTGAAACGCTTTGTCTCATTTAACATTAACGACATAATTAATTGCAAAATCGTTCATAACTAGCGAACATGGAATACTTATCCTAAAAACTAAATAACCAGTAAAAATGTGGATCACTGCCTTTAGGAGTGATTATAGCATTTTCTTCCAGTACTGCACAGGTTATGATATTTAATAACTGCTAGTAACTTCACACTAGTGTTAGCAGTATAGTTTTCTCATATAATTTCTGCAGAAGCTGTGACCGATGGGTATAGTAATGCCCGTTTTATAGAGGAAGAAAAGTTAACGTGATTCCATTTAGGTTACACAGATACTAAGTGGCAGAGCGATATTTGAATCCAGTTGTGTTTTACATCAAAGCCATTGTTCTAGATGACAGCTCCCTTTATTTGGGAGATCGAGTTTATATCTAAAAGTCTTGTAAATTGAATTATACATTGAAAATTTATATTTGAAATGTAATAGCTTTGAACAATGGACCAGACTAAACTACTGGCAAAATGTTTTATGTCTAATCAAACCTTAAAGACAATCTTAAGAGTTCACATAGTGTTTTCGCTCTTTCTTAGGTATGGGAAGACAACTTGTTCTGTCCTGAAGGTTCAACTTCTTTATGAACTAGATCCTTTGCATTGACATCTAAACATGCTCATTTCTCTTCCATCTTAAATCAGAACAAAAGCCCCACATTTTGTTCTACAACCATCTCTGTCCATTGCCAAACTTTAGAGTGGTCTCTGCCGCCTCATCACTTGCATACTCACTCGTTAGCCTATTCGCTTTGACTTCCAACCCATCATTCCATGGAAACTGTTCTGGTGTGGTCTCTGAGCAGCTCCATGTTGATAAACCTTATTTGACCACAGCAGTTTTGGGTATTATTGACCATTTCCTTCTTCTAGAAACACTTTAATTCTTATGTGTTGTCAAACTTTCCTAGTTTTCTCCATCTTTATTGGCACTTCATTTTCCTTAGCAGGCTGATCCTCTTCCCTTGACCATTAAATGTTGAAATCCATCAATTCTTAGTTCAAAACATTTTTTTCCCCTCCCAATAAATCCTGTCTCCTTGGCAAGTTCATCCAGTGCCCAGAGTTTCCCATCTATAGTCTCTTTAGTGTCAGATTTATGTTTGTAAATCTTTTGTTGTTGTGCCTTAATATAGTTATCTTTTAGCCCAATGCTTCTCAAGTTCTCTGTGGTGAAGGCTTTAAAATGTACCTTAGGTCACAGTTCAGCACTTTTGTAAAATACAGTAAAAATTATTTTCTAGAAAAATAAGTTAGGAAAATTTTTTATTAAACAGATGTGAAATTACTCTGTAAATTTCAATAAAAGCTTCTAAATACTTATTCTCTTGATTTGTACTTATCTTGTCATGAAGCAGTAACAAATCGTTTGTGGGTCACATTTTGAATAGCACTGTGAAATAACTCTTCTCATAGGTATCTCAAAGATACTTCAGGACTAACTTCAAGAGCCTGTATTTTCTCCAACAAGACAAACTAACTTTGTTCAGTTTTTCCCATTGCAAAATTCATCCATGAATATCATCCATGCCCTCCTGCCCCCCGATCTCACATACCTAGTCCACCAGTAAATCATGTTTATCATCTAAATATGTTCCGTATTCCTCTTTTACACACCATTCCCACTGTTTCTACCTTAATTGCAGACCCATTATCTCTCACCTGGACTGCTACAACAGCCTTTTAACTGATTTTCCTGCTTCCAATTTTGCCCCTCTCCTTATTCCTTTTCCACTGTGCAGCCAGAATGATCTTTTAAGATGAAGATCCTGTTACAACACTGCTTTTCATCCCTCTCTGGGCTCCCATTGCTGTCAGAGTAATGACCAGCATCTTGATGTAGCCTATTGCCCTATTACCCTGGGTGGTCTTGACCTTCTTTACATGGCTTCCCCATGTCTTTACCACTCTGCCTGTACTCTCCTGAGGATGCGCCATATCCCTTTCTGCCCAGGAACTCTGTACATGCTGTTCTCTTTGCTGGGAATTATCTTTTTCTTTTCTTCATTTAGTTAGTTTCTACTCTTCTTTCAGATCTGATTTTAATATCACTTCCTTTGAGAAGCATTCTCTTATTCGAAATTATCAGATCCCACATTATAGGCTCTCCTAGCATTCTAACTTAGTTTTTCATTGTATTAATATTAGTTTCTAATTTTGCAGCTATTCACTGATTGTTTAATAACTCACTCATCCTTCAAGGCCATAAACTCTTGAGGCCAAGGACTTATGAATAAAAGTGCCTGACATAGTGTCTGCCATATGGTAGGCACATAGTACATATTTGCTGGATGAATAAATGAAGGGTGGATGATTATTTGAAATTATCTTTACTATCTTGTTAGTTAATCTGATACTTAAGGTGCTCAATAAATGTAAAGTTAGTTAATGGAGAAATTAGATGTTGACATATTTTTAAAGTATTGGAGGAGTGAGATGAGAAGGGAACTGTGTGGACAACTTGAGTAGACCTGTGTAGTGTAAGCAGAGAATACAGTGGTGGTGGTTTGGAAAATGAGACCAGTCATTGGGAACTTGAACATGATTACCATTGAAAGATAAGTGTGGAGATATTTAGGGAAACCTGTGATAGGTTGCTAAATCCTGGGGCATGGAGAATGTGCCGGATAGGGTGGCAGGAGAAGAAGAAAATTAACATCTTGGGAGGGACTGAGAACACTTGTTTGGTAATTGTCAAGAGCGAAAGTTAGTTCATAGGTTTAGGAAGAAAAAGGCAGGAACTGAATATTATGAGGTCATCTAACAGCAGTATGCTTTACTGCTAATGACCAGCAAGCTATGTAAGAGACCTAATGCTCATTGGAAGGTTGAATTTCTGTCCAGCTTCTCATATTATGCAGTGTGTGTTAATTTTGTTTTATACCGGTGCTGTTCATCTTAGCTCTGTGAGATCCTTTGTTTTTCTAGATTTGCACCTCTTATAAGAAGGAAAAGAAACATGTTGGGAGGTTATTTTGTAGTGACACAATAATGTAAATCAAATTTCTACCTTATGGTTTTGCTTTCATTGACTTAATTTCTTTTTCATTACCAAATATCTGTTTCTTCTGATTATTAAGGGAGACTTAGGTAGAGCTCTGTGATTATGGTATATGTGTTTACAATAAATTTTATAATGAGGTTGTGACTTTTTAAATATTTAAAAATTTTTTTTTATATTTTATTGCACTTTAGGTTCTGAGTACATGTACAGAACATGCAGGATTGTTGCATAGGTACATACATGGCAATGTGGTTTGCTTCCTCCATCCCCGTCACCTGTATCTGGCATTTCTTCCCATGTTATCCCTTCCCAGCTCCTCCGCACCGCTGTCCCTCTCCTATTCCCCCAATAGACCCCCATGTGTAGTGTGCTCCCCTCCCTGTGTCCATGTGTTCTCATTGTTCATCACCCGCCTATGAGTGAGAATATGTGGTATTTCATTTTCTGTTCTTGTGTCCGTTTGCTGAGAATGATGTTCTCCAGATTCATCCATGTCCCTACAAAGGACACGAACTCATCGTTTTTTATGGGTGCATAATATTCCATGGTGTATATGTGCCACATTTTTCCAGTCCAGTCTATCATCGATGGGCATTTGGGTTGGTTCCAGGTCTTTGCTATGTAAACAGTGCTGCAATGAACATTTGTATGCATGTATCCTTATAATAGAATGATTTATATTCCTTTGGATATATACGCAGTAATGGGATTGCTGGGTGAAATGGAATTTCTATTTCTAGGTCCTTGAGGAATCGCCACACTGTCTTCCACAATGGTTGAACTAATTTACACTCCCACCAGCAGTGTAAAAGTGTTCCTATTTCTTCACATCCTCTCCAGCATCTGTTGTCTCCAGATTTTTTAATGATCGCCATTCTAACTGGCATGAGATGGTATCTCAATGTGGTTTTCATTTGCATTTCTTTTTTTTTTTTTTAATTTTTTATTGGATTTTAGGTTTTGGGGTACATGAGCAAAGCATGCAAGACAGTTGCGTAGGAACACACATGGCAGTGTGCTTTTCTTTCCTTCTCCCCTTCACCCACATTTGGCATTTCTCCCTAGGCTATCCCTCCCCATCTCCCCCTCCCACTGGCCCTCCCCTTTTCCCCCCAATAGACCCCACTGTTTAGTACTCCCCTTTCTGTGTCCATGTGTTCTCATTTTTCATCACCCACCTATGAGTGAGAATATGCGGTGTTTCATTTTCTGTTCTTGTGTCAGTTTGCTGAGGATGACGTTCTCCAGATTCATCCATGTCGCTACAAAGGACACAAACTCTTCATTTCTGATTGCTGCATAATATTCCATGGTGTATATGTGCCACATTTTTCCAATCCAGTCTATTATCAATGGGCATTTTGGTTGATTCCAGGTCTTTGCTATTGTAAACAGTGCTGCAATGAACATTCGTGTACATATGTCCTTATAGTAGAACGATTTATAGTCTTTTGGATATATACCCAGTAATGGGATTGCTGGGTCAAATGGAATTTCTATTTCTAAGGTCTTGAGGAATCGCCACACTGTCTTCCACAATGGTTGAACTAATTTATACTCCCACCAACAGTGTAAAAGTGTTCCTTTTTCTCCACATCCTCTCCAGCGTCTGTTGTCTCCAGATTTTTTAATGATCGCCATTCTAACTGGCGTGAGATGGTATCTCAATGTGGTTTTGATTTGCATCTCTCTGATGACCAGTG